CCGGATAACAATTAACTAGATAAATACCTAAATATGAGTGATGCTGGTCAGTCTGGGCATTTGACATGTTTAAGGTGCCCGGCTGGGTCAAAATTTCCCGGCTGGGTCAAAATTTGATGATCGGTTAGTGACCAGGCAGTTCGTCCGAACGTTTGAGGCAGCTTTGGGACACCCGGTGGTAGATGCTCCCAGACCTCATTCAATAAAAAGAGAAAAAAATCTCGTTTGACCTATAAAAAGAATTTGCTTTTTCTTACGTGTGGGGATGTCTAGCCACTTTCGGATAACTCTATTTCAATTAACTAGATAAATACCTCGTGAGTTACTACTGTAGAAATCAATTGAAAAATATTTTTTTCATAAGATTTGGTTGTGTGGAACACAAATATTTAAATTAATAACACGTTAATCTAAACTAAAAATACATAGGACTTATTATGTTTGATTATAAATTAGTAAAATGTTTTTTCACGAATACGCCGCGGTTGGCGTACCATTTCATTGATAGGGGGAGAACATACAGAGTGATGCCATGGCCGCGTACACAAGAAGGCGCGCTCATGACACGGAACGAGCATAGAAAAGGGGGTGTTCAGCCCCAAACAAGAACACTAGCCTGCAGGGATGATAGCACTAAGTCCTCTCGCTCCGGCATAGGCCCGGGAGCGGGCGTCGTCTTGAATCGCGGCCAGGAGGGAGGCAGTAGAGGGCGTGGCCTTGTCGAAGATGTTGGCGTTCCGGTGGCGCCAGATTGCCCAAGCGGTGAGAAGGGCAATGGTGGAGAGCCCTCGCCGCTGGCCCTAGGGTAGCTGGAGCATGGCCCTGCTAAGCCAATCGAAGAATCCAAGCGATCCGTCTGGCACGGAAGCCGCGGGACAGCACCAGGATAGGATGCCGTGCCATATGATGCGGGTGAAGACGCAGTCGACGAGGAGGTGGTGAAGTGTCTCGGCATGCTGAGAGCAGAAAACACACGCCGGCTCCTGCTGCAAGCCACGGCGGGCCAACTGATCAACCGTCCAACATCGGTTGACGGATGCGAGGTACGCGAAGAATTTGACGGAAAGAGGAGCCCCGGACTTCCAAACAAGGTGCTAGTGCTCGGAGGATGTGGATCCGGTGAAGAGAGCTTTGTAGCAAGAGGATGCGGTGTAAACTCCGCTTTCCGTCCACTTCCAATGGATGGCGTCGGGCACCGTAGTGAGCTCGATTTCCCGCAGCATAAGCCAGACGTCCAGGTATTCAAGCGCGGCCGCGGGGCTGAGGTGGCCCTGGATGTCCTGGATCCATGTGCGGTCATGGAGGGCCGCAACCATAGTCTGCGATCATCGGCGTCGGTTGGGTACTAGGGCGACGAGGTTCGGGGCGTGTCTTGAAGTGCGCGGCCGGAGTCCGACCAGAAGCGGCAGGAGTTGCCGTTTCCCAAAGTCCAGGTCGTCGAGGCCCGGAAGAATTGCATGGCCTCGGGGTCCGAGGGCGGCTGCAAATGAGACCAAGGCCGGGAGCTATCCGAAGCGTGGAGCCAAAGCCATCTGACACGGAAAGAGATGCCAGTGCGGTGTAAGTCATGAATGCCAAGGCCGCCGAGTTCAATGGGGCGGCATACTCGCGCCCAGCTCACAAGGCAACAACTAGCCCGAGCATCCTTGCGTCCATGCCATAAGAAATCGCGGATGATCCGGTTGGCTTTCTTGAGAATGGGGGGGGGGGCGGGTAGCGCCATAGCCAACAGAATGTGCACGGGCATCGCCGTCAGCACTTGCCTGACCAGAGCAAGTCGCTCACCGCGGGAGAGGAGCGCGGCCTTCCAAGTTGCTAGCTTGTGCAGCAGCCTGTCTAGGAGTGGTTGGAGGTGGGAGGCCGGCCCCTTGCGCAGGGAGAGGGGGAGGCCTAGGTATTGAATGGGGAAGGCCGCCACCGAGCAGGTAAGGAAAGCAACAATGCCGTCAGAAGCCTCAAAAGTGCATCGGATCGGTGCCGCAAGGCACTTGGCGAAGTTTGTGTGAAGGCCCGAGGCAGCCCCAAAGAAGTCGAGCAGGCCGCTGACCGTTGCGAGCTCTTAGGGGTCGGAGTGGCAGAAAATGACCACAACATCTGCGAAGAGGGAGACGCTAGAAGCAGCCAGCCGCGTCGTAAGCTGCCTAATAATGCCCTTGGCGACCACGCACTAGAGTAGCGAGTTTAGGGCGTCGATGACGAGAGTGAAGAGCATGGGCGAAGCGGGGTCTCCCTGACGAAGGCCCTAGTGGTGAGGAATGGGGGGGAGGGGTGCCGTTAATCATCACACGCGTGGAGGCAGTGGAGATGAGAATGGAAACCCATTCACGCCATCTCGGCCCAAAGCCAAGGTGCTCAAGGACCTGGAGAAGGAAAGGCCAGGAGACAGAGTCGAAGGCCCGGGCTATGTCCAACTTGAGGAGAACCCGAAGAAGGCGCAGTTGGTGAAGTTGTCTGGCCGTTTGCTGGACAAGGATGAAATTGTCATGCACGCTCCTGCCCGTGATGAATGCACTTTGGTTGGAGGATACCATCTCGGCGAGACGGGGGGCCGAATAATAGAATGAATTATCTTTTTTTTGCATCGTTGCACGTAGTGATGGAACTTTTCTCATGCATGGTTATATATTGAGGTTAGCATTACCCATTCCTAATTATAAGGTGATGCAACATGCTTATATGTTGAAATAAATAAATTATTGTGATCATGACAATAATACCGTCCACCCCGGCTCTTATTCAAGAAATCAAGGACGAAGCTTGCTCCTGGCCGCGACAGAAGTTTGAGGAATGAACATGCACGCGCTTGTAACATAAACCTTAGTTTGTCTTGGGGCTGAGCAACCCCATTCCTTCTGCTCCACCGGGTGTCGAGGGCTCGTCATTCATGTGTACGAGGCCACGGCACCCCCCCTCCCCTTATTTCTTTTTTCCCTACCAATGCAATGATACGCTAGCTCAACGTATTCAAGAAAAAAATAAATTATTGTTTACTCTTTTAGATTTATAAATTATATTTTATTTAATAAAGTTTATCACTAGTAAAGTAAACATATATAAAGTATAGTTGAGACTATTATTGCATGTGCAAATCTATTTTGCTTTTATCTACTTGTGTTAAAATAATTGAAGATGTACGTCAATCTATCGAGATATCCAAATATATGTCGATCTATTAAGGATAAACAATCACATATGCATGAAGATGGCATTATGATTTTTTAACAAGGTTCATCGACACGGTTACGCCTACAAGACAACATAGGTACATCTTTATAACATGATTGCACAACCAATGATAAGTCCGCTGAGGCCGTCAAACCGACGCTTCGACCATCCGTCACGATCAAATTGGTCACCCCTGGCAAGCATGACCACATTGTGACGCCCCTGATTCAATTGTACACTAATTATACATGCAAATGTGTACGACCAAGGTCAGAGACTCACGGAAAGATATCACAACACAATTAAAAATAACACAAGCTTTATATTACAAGCCAGGGGCCTCGAAGGCTCGAATACAAATGCTCAAAGACACAAGAGTCAGCGGAAGCAATAATATCTAAGTACAGATATAAGTTAAACAAGTTGCCAGAAGATGGCTAGCACAAACTGGGATACAGATCAAAAGAGATGCATGCCTCCTACCTGGGATCCTCCTAAATTACTCCTGGTCGTCGGCGGCCTGCAAGTAGTAGTAGGCACCCTCGGTGTAGTAGGAGTCATCGAAGGTGGCGTCTGGCTCCTGTGCTCCAGCATCTGGTTGCGATATCCAA